TAAAGGAGACGTGCAAAAGATGAGGGAACTAGACAAGGAAATAAGTTGCATGATTAAGAAAGTTAAAATAAATTATAAAGATAAAGTTGAGAGGGAACTGAGTAATGGCAATGCAAGAGATGCCTGGAGGGGACTGAACACAATAATGGGGAGGAAACAAAAATATTCCCTTCAACACACTGACCCTTTTCATCTTGCAAATAAACTAAATGTTCATTATTCAAGATTTGACATCCATGACTTCAGTGATGAGATTGACTCTTTCTGTGCAGCCTTGACACCAACTCCTGTGGAATTACAGGAGAAAGAGGTAATTTTGATTTTTCAGAACATCAATCCTCATAAAGCAGCTGGGCCAGATGGGATTAAGGGAAGGGTATTAAAAGAATGTGCCACACAGCTGGGTCCTGTGTTCAAACAAATATTTGAGTTGTTCCTTAACACTATCTTTGTCCCACAAGCATGGAAAATGTCAACTATTGTCCCAGTGCCCAAAATAACACATGCAAAGGCACTGAATGACTTCAGACCAATTGCCCTCACATCTGTATTATGCACATGTATGGAGCGCTTAGTGATCAGAGAACTCATGTCTGTTACAGCTGAGCATATGGACCCTTTGCAGTTTGCATATAGGACTAACCAAGGAGTGGAGGATGCCACTCTCTCCCTCCTCAACAAGGTCCATAATCATTTAGACAACCCAAAGACATTTGTTTGCATATTATTCATAGATTTTTCATCTGCTTTTAATACGGTTCAGCCACATATACTTCTAAAACGCCTGTGTGATCTAAATGTCAGCAGCCATCTTGTGTTGTGGATTAGCAATTTTTTAAGAGGAAGACCCCAGCGAGTTTGTGTTGAAAACACTCTATCTGACTGTAGGGTCTTGAACACTGGTGTTCCACAGGGTTGCGTGCTATCGCCTCTTTTATTCTCTATATACACAAATGAGTTGCAACACAACAGTGAAGATTTCACATTAAGTATGCTGATGACATTGCCCTCGTTGCTGGTCTGAAAGACACCAACAGTCCCTCCTACTCCCAGCTCATAGATCAGCTCTCTATCTGGTTTGATGACAGTTTCCTGGCCCTTAATGCCAGTAAAATCAAGGAACTTTGTTTGGGAGGTAGATGGGGAGCAGCCAGCACCAGACCTACTTTTAGGCCTTCTATTATAAAAGGGCAGGAAGTAGAGCAGGTGGCTGATTTTAAATACCTTGGAACAATAATTGACAACAAGTTGACCTTTGAGCCCGACACTGACTATATTTACAAAAAAGCTAGACAGCGTCTCCACCTTCTGTATATGCTAAGGAGCTTTAATGCAAGCAAAATTACTTTGCAGTTGATGTACAGGTCACTGGTTGAAAGTGTTGTTTCATTTAATATTGTCTCATGGTATGGGAACCTCCTAGCCAGAGACTAGGAGGGGACACACCGGACAAGTTGTCCCGTGTGGTCAAACAAGGTAGTAAAGTCATTGGTCATCAACAAATGACACTTAGACCTGTACAGTCAGGTTCTGGAAAAAAAGGCAATCCAGGTTTACAATGACCCAACTCATCCACTGCAACCATTATTCAGGTTGGTACCATCTGGTAGAAGACTGCTGGTTCCTTTAGCAAAGAAAAATGGGTACAAAAAGTCATTTGTTCCCTCTGTGGTGAATGTACTTAACAAGGTCCTATTTAAACGCAGCCTCACATAAACTACAGTCTGCTGGGATGTTTCCATATTTTAATGTATTGTGTGTTTTAGAATGGTTTTAACTGAATATTTTTAATTGATTTAGCAAAGTTTGGTTTTAAGTTTTTTAGCGTTTTTAATCACATTTTTATTTTGTTTTACAAGCCAGATGTCAAAGACAAATCTCCATTTCATTGAATGTTATGGACATTAAAGTTGAATTGATTGATTGATTGATTGATTGTTTTTTTTTCTTGAACTTTTTGGAATTTATCATGTCCTGGAGGACTAAGACTCTTCACCAGTTGTTAATGATTCAATCGGCGTGCCATATTACCCCCACCTTCATTCTGCTCGCTGCTTGGACTGAACATCAAACCAGCTGCAGCACCCTGGCAAAATGCATCTAATTTGACCATTGAAGTGCATTTATTAAGCAAATGTTAGACTGAGAAACACCTTTGCTATAATTTCGAGCAAACAAATAATTGTTTAGGTGTTTATCTTGTTATTAAATTTCTACAGTGACTCACTGCGTGCACGTTTACTTCTGCGTATCTGCTTTTGAAATATAGCTGATATGTCCATCAAAGTGCATTTATTAGGCAAACGTTAGATTGAAACACACATTTAATATAATTTTGAGCAAACAAATAATTGTTTTGAGGCATTTATCTTGTTATCTTGTTACTTCCGCATTTCGCGTTTTGAAATGCAGCTGATTTGACCCTCAAAGTGCATTTATTAAGCAAACGTTAGATTGAGACACACATTTACTATAATTTTGAGCAAACAAATAATTGTTTTTAAGTGTTAGTCTTGTTAAAATCTTGTTGAAGTCCTCCTGTACACGCTCCCGTGGCCGCCATTTGGCAGCCCATCGATTTTTGGCACAAGGGTCCACATTTCTGGGTTGTCAGTGATGACGCATAACAAATAGGACGCATCAGCAGTGACACATAATAGATGCAATGTATACGGCGAAGCAACATATTTAGGGATTTTTCCACTTTATTAGACAAATATGGACTGATATGACGTGTCCGCTGGAAAATACGGTATATTCTGTTTATTGAGATGCACCTGTAATGCAGCTCACCATCAGGCCCTCAGCGCAAGACTGGAGGTCCCGCAGTGGGAGACTACCAAAGGTGATGGAAAATGGTAGAGTTAAGATACTGTGGGACTTTCAGACCCTGATAGACAAACAGGTGATAGCCTGCATACTGTACAGGTCCTTCTAAAAAAATTAGCATATTGTGATAAAGGTCATTATTTTCCATAATGTGATGATAAAAATTAAACTTTCATATATTTCAGATTCATTGCACACCAACTGAAATATTTCAGGTCTTTAATTGTTTTAATACTGATGATTATGGCATACAGCTCATGAAAACCCAAAATGCCTGTCCCAAAAAATTAGCATATCATGAAAAGGTTCTCTAAACAAGCTATTAACCTAACCATCTGAATCAACAACGTAACTCTAAACACCTGCAAAAGATTCCTGAGGCTTTTAAAAACTCCCAGCCTTGTTCATTACTCAAAACCACAATCGTGGGTAAGACTGCCGACCTGACTGCTGTCCAGAAGGCCATCGTTGACACCCTCAAGCAAGAGGGTAAGGCACAGAAAGAAATTGCTGAACGAATAGGCTGTTCCCAGAGTGCAGTATCAAGGCACCTCAGTGGGAAGTCTGTGGGAAGGGAAAAGTGTGGCAGAAAACGCTGCACAACGAGAAGAGGTGACCGGACCCTGAGGAGGATTGTGGAGAAGGGCCGATTCCAGACCTTGGGGGACCTGCGGAAGCAGTGGACTGAGTCTGGAGTAGAGAAACATCCAGAGCCACTGTGCACAGGCGTGTGCAGGAAATGGGCTACAGGTGCCGCATTCCCCAGATCAAGCCACTCTTGAACAAGAGACTGCGTCAGAAACATCTCGCCTGGGACTGCTGCTGAGTGGTCCAAAGTTATGTTCTCTGATTACAGTAAATTTTGCATTTCCTTTGGAAATCAAGGTCCCAGAGTCTGGAGGAAGAGAGGAGACACAGAATTCACATTGCTTGAGGTCCAGTGTCAAGTTTCCACAGTCACTGGTTTGTCATGTCAGCTGCTGGTGTTGGTCCACTGTGTTTTATCAAGCACAGGGTCAATGCAGCAGCTATCAGGAGATTTTGGAGCACTTCATGCTTCCATCTGCTGAAAAGCTTTATGGAGATGAAGATTTCATTTTTCAGCACTACCTGGCACCTGCTCACAGTGTCAAAACCACTGGTGAATGGTTTACTGACCATGGTATTACTGTGCTCAATTGGCCTGCCAACTCTCCTGACCTGAACCCCATAGAGAACCTGTGGGATATTGTGAAGAGAAAGTTGAGAGACGCAAGACCCAACACTGTGGATGAGCTTAAGGCCGCTATCGAAGCATCCTGGGCCTCCATAACACCTCAGCAGTGCCACAGGCTGATTGCCTCCATGCCACGCCGCATTGAAGCAGTCATTCATGCAAAAGGATTCCCGACCAAGTATTGAGTGCGTAACTGAACATGATTATTTGAAGGTTGGCGTTTTTTGTATTAAAAACACTTGTCTTTCATTGGTGGGATGAAATATGCTAATTTTTTGGGACAGGCATTTTGGGTTTTCATGAGCTGTATGCCATAATCATCAGTATTAAAACAATTAAAGACCTGAAATATTTCAGTTGGTGTGCAATGAATCTGAAATATATGAAAGTTTCATTTTTATCATTACATTATGGAAAATAATTACCTTTATCACAATATGCTAATTTTTTGAGAAGGACCTGTAGAGCGCTGTAGGGAGTGGATAGTTTCTTGCCCAAGAACACTGCAGAGGTTGGAGATCAAACACTCAATCCTCCAGTTACAAGATGACTTCTTGCCCACTGAGCTAAAGTTGCACACTTATTGGCATTTAACCAGAAAACAGATGATCGGAGAGCACATTTCTTCTGCGAGCATTTGCCTGCTGGCTTGTTAAGGGCAGACTGCTTGGCTCCTTGTTAGATGAGATGGAGACTTTAACAGGAAAATCTGTGTGTGTTGTAGTTTAGAGTGTGTTGTGTTGCAGCCATTTGATAGGATGATGAAGGTATCATGTTTGCAATTGTGGATCAAAATGAAGTCAGCTGACTGAACTAAAGCAAACAAAAATTTGTTTGAAGAATCACTTTTATTTCCCCTTCTTTTTTCCATGGGCGCTTCATTAACATTTTCACACATTGTTTATATGTTTACACGATGTGTGTATGTGGATGATGTATGGATAGTGTTTAATACCTCACGGCGAGATTGTTCTATAAAGTCGCAGCAGTCCTGCATGTAGAGCTGCAGGTCAGTGTCAGGGTGATCCACAATACTGACGGTCTTGTAGATGAACAGATCCGAGAACATGTTCTCTACTCCGAAGGCCACGTTCAGGATGTGAGACACCTGAGGACAAAGAAGACATAGGGAAAAAAAATCTTAACAATAAAAATATTTAGGTTGTTTAAATGGCTATCTACAACAGATAAGACAATATGTGTCCATCTTACTTCTAGTTGATTGAAATACAATTTAATGATAAAAATGGTAAGCTGACAATAATAAAAACTACAGTTCAACATCACACAGGGATTAATTTTGTAAACCATATAAGTTGTCTTGGGTTCATTTTTTTTTGTGTTCTAATAGAAAACAGGTAAATAAATTCATCATATATCTAACAACGATTCTGAAAATAACAAAATGGAACTAGTTTGAGAGAAGATGCTCTACCTTGTGTTTTCTCAGAGTTCCAAAGTCATGAGCAGCATCCTGTGAACCTGTGTGGACACACATACACACAAACCGAGTTATTTCAGTTTGCATTATCTAATGCAGATCAGGCTTCACCTGTAAACCTTTACAGATAATGTCACCACATCTGAGCTCATGTTATTGTCCACTGCAATAGAAAAAAATGCTCTGCAGAAAATATAGAATGTTGTTTCATTAATGTGCTTCTGTGTTTTCAGATTTGTTCTTTTGAAATTTGACACTAAAGCTGTAAAGTCAAAGTGAAGAGAATGGAGTTTGAATAGCAAAAGATGTGTTCATGACTGTTGATATACAGTAGGTGTAGTCTTTATGTCCCCATTAGATGGCAAATGGACTGTACTTATATAGCACCTTTCTATCTTATCAAGCTATTCAAAGTGCTCTACAATACAATATGTGCCTCATTTACCCATTCACACAGCACTCTACTATATCTATACAAAGAATAATCAGAGTCAGAGTCAGAGTTTCTTTATTGTCATTCGCACCTCATGTGGTACATGTGGTGGAGCGAAATTATGTACACAGGGTCCCAGTTACATCCAACAATAAAATGTATAAGAAAAACAGTAATAACATCCAAGATATGAACCAAGAAAAACATCAACTAAATATACACTAAGCACTCATAACATAAAACATTGAACATCACCACAAACATGAACATGAGTCCGTGAGCAGATGTGCACGCATGAACACACCAACATTGAAACAGACCAGCAGCAACATGAAACAGATCAGCAGCAACACGATATGGTCAGTGCTTTATTACATTCCTACACCAATGGGACATACATCAGAGGCAATGGGGAGTTCAGTGTCTTGCACAGGGACACTTCAGCATGTGACTGCTAGTGGAATCAAACCCCCAACTCTCCCACTGGAGGACGACTGCTCTAACCATTCAGCCACAGCTGCCCCTAGATAAGGAAGTAAAAAGGGTTGATGTGGTTGAAGTTCTGCACAAAAACAAAACTCTTGTAACAGACTGCAAGGCTGGAACTGATAGTGGAGGCCCAAAAATCATCCATAATAGGAAATTTCTGCAATCAGTTACAAGGTGATGGAAACAACCTATTGCAGATAGGATAACTGTGGTGGTAGTATATTATTGGTGTATTATTGCTAACATGGCATGATATTGTGTAGCTGCATCCTGACAGTCTGAAAGAGTTGCGCGAAGACAGGGGTGTGGTGCAATAGTGGCGGCATGTGGTGGAATTGTGCTGACGACGCAGGATGAGCATGCAGAGGAGAATTTCATAAGCTTACAAATTCCTGGGGAAAATCTATTTGGAGTCTACTAGTAGTAGACTAGTTGCCTTCACACTGGAGGATATTTTCCAAATTTGTTGCGATTTGGTGATGTTCTAATAGGTTATCTAGAATATGAAGATTACTGTATATCAACATCTTTTTTATGATGCAAGTGGGACTTACTGAAAAAATGACCAGCTGTAATTTTTTTTGTCTAATGTAATCATTATGGCTTAGATCTTCTGTCCTTGTCCTTACAAAGAGACTTGTGACTTATCTATAGTAAAACTTCCATCTGCAGTTGTTCATTGAATATGTCTCCATTACTCACCCAGTAGCAAGAATGGTTTGACAATGCCAACTTGCAGATCCCAGGAAGTGACAGGAACGTACCCCAGCATGTTCTCTGGGGGAACGGGCTCTTCGACAACAGTGATGGTTGAACCCTTCCAGGTCTCTATAATGCGCCGGCCACTCAGTGATGTCACACGGGTGCATTGCTTCCTCAGCCTCGACCGAGAAAAACTTTGGATTTCCTGAGTCAAAGACTGCATGATCCAATTTGACTGAATCTAAAAGAAAAAAGAATACATTTTTGTTACGTCATTAGCTTTTAAATTAAAACCGGTCATACAGCATTTAAATGTTATGCATCTTAAAAACTAGACTGATATACCAGTAGGGCCGATATGGGCATTTGGGGACATATTGGTATCGGTGTAATTGTCTCATTATGCACAAATATAAACACTAGGAACAAGTCGTGTCCTCACTTGCAAAAGGTGTAAGTGCACAATGTATTCAGCAGAGGGTGCATGGGAACTACTTTCTAGTCATGACCCATTCACTTTGTTTCACTTTCAGCACAGCCGAAGCAGTGAGCAATATTGTGTTTTACATTTAGTTGAACAGAGCATGTTTATTTAACTGATCTGTAAATAAAATAACACAATAGATTCTCTTTAATCCTCCAACCCGCTTGTCATTAGCTACGTACCTCTCAAGTTAGCAAGCTAACATTTAAATAACCTAACATATGCTATTGCTTGTAAAACTTTATCCAGATGACAAGAATCATATTTAGGGATTTGAACCAGATCACAGACAACAGGAATGTTTAAAAGTATTTATTGATAAACTGCTTCTGGTGGAGGTCTGAGTCCTTGGGCCAGCACGATCTGGAGAGACAGGAAGGTTAGTTGATTGGAGTTCAATGGCTTTGGTTTGACAGTTCAGTTCATAAACAGCAACCTTTATAAACAGATGAGGAATAATTTCCTTAGAAGAGTTGGTTTTTATGATGTCACAGTTGGAGAAGGTGAGCTGGTTTTGAGGCAGGTCTGAGCATGAAGCAGTTAGGAGGGAGATCCAGAAGGCAGGTCCAGGGAGACAGGAGAGGGTCGAACACAGGTGGTCAGAAATCCAAAACCAAACTTGAATCTTATCCGGTAGACGTGGTCGTTGTAGAGAAGGCAGAGGTCGTTACCATGAGCAGAGTAAATAATTCAAAGCAAGCAGGGGACGAGCAAGATGGGTAATCCGTAAAACAGGCATGAAGTCAGGACCAGGAAGACAAACAAAACTGTGGCATGGACGCTGGACATTTACTCACTGAGGCTTTCAATAATCTGGCACTGAGTAGAGTGACTGTGGGATTTAAGTAAAGGGAAAAACAGGTGAGCTGCATGAGGGCTGATTGCAGTGACTCAGCAGAGTGGGTGTGGTTAAGTGAGGTGCAGGTTGACAGGAGATGAACAACATGAACAGAAACAAGAAGGGCAGAAAACGTGACACCAGAACAATAAATCTAACATAGAGGTAAAATATATCAGTGTTAGAATGTTATCTTTGTCGTCCTCAATAAAATTATTTGTTTGTATGAAATCTTTACTTCTCTGCAAAGAAAAAAAAAACTCTGCTGCGATCAATACTGATTAGGCCCTCACCCCATCACCATACGTGACTGACTGTTACAGGGAAGAGCATTTCTTTGTTTAATTTATATTTATGTAACACACTTAATAACATTATGGTGAATAGTGGGGGATAGAAAATTTATTTTTATGTGTTTAAATGTTCTTGGTTTTATGTGTACATCACTGTTGCAGCTGTGGTTGATTTAAAAGGCTTTATAAATAAAGTATTATCATTATTATTACAAACCGGATTCCAAAAAAGTTGGGACACTAAACAAATGGTGAATAAAAACTGAATGCAAATATGTGGAGATGGCAAATGTCAATATTTTATTCGTAATATAACATAGATGACAGATCAAAAGTTTAATCAATTCAATTAAATTCAATTCAAAAATACTTTATTAATCCCAAAGGGAAATTATTTTGTTGTTGTAACTCATTATCCTCATTTCATTAAGAGATGTTACAGATGCTGATGGCTGTAGACAGGAAGGATCTCTTGTAAAGGTCCATCCCACAGTGGATCCTAAGAAACTGGCTGCAGATGCCGTCCGATCCGTCCACCCAGACTCGGCTGGCCTCTTGGTTCCCCTGGACTGTAGGACTGCCTGAATGCTGGGCTGAACTCCTCCCAGAGCGATGGCCACTCCTCCCAGCAGTCTGCCGAGCTCCTCATAGCTGTGGGCAGCCAACTGTAGGTGTTGAGGGACAATCCTGTCCTTCCGCTGTCGTGAGCCGTGTTTCCTGCTAGTTCCAGGATCTCAGTGGTCAGAGACTCGAGCACAGCTGGCAGGTAGATGAGAATGCGTCCAAATAACATCCTTTTCAACTCATTTGAGAGTTGGGGCCATAGTTGAGATATTATTTCAGCTTTTGAGATGTTAATCAGCTGCTGTTGTTGTAGAAAACAGCATTGTTGCCATGGTTACGCATCATAACAAATGTCCAAAACTTAAAAAGTTTCAGTAAAAATCCTTCAGGCTGCACAGCGTCCGATACCAGAAGAAACAATAATCCAAAAAATATGATTTACATCCAGAAAACCAGGAATTAAAGTTTCCAAAAGGAAAATCTCAGAATGAAAGTAACAGAGCTGCTCCAACATGCAGCCACCTTGAGCGGAGCAATTCTAGAACATCTGAATAAATGTAACATTTTAAAGGAAAAATATGTTTTTTTCAAATAGGAAGTTGGTCCCAGCAGTTCTTCCTCCGATTTTATCCTCAAATGGTGTCCCCAATTGAGTTTGTTGATTCCTATAAATATTTGGGTATCTTGGTCGACTCACATCTCTCTTTTAAGCTCCATGTGGAAAACTTGGTAAAGAAACTGAAAGTTAAACTGAGTTTCTTTTTCAGAAACAAATCCTGTCTAACCCTGAATGCTAGGAAACGCCTTGTATCTGTGACTTTCCTTCCCTCCATTGATTATGGTGACATTATTTACATGAACGCTCCTACAAGAACCCTGCAGATGTTGGATGCTGTCTATCATGGTGCACTAAGATTCATAACTGGCTGTGATTATCGTACCCACCACTGCACCCTGTATTCACTGGTTAACTGGACATCATTAACTTCATGCAGACTCTCTCACTGGTACATTTTCATCTTAAAATCACTTCTTGGTCTGCTGCCTTCATACATCTCCTCCTACACGTCTCTGCATGAGTGCAGCTATGGAGTGCGCTCTCAGGACATTATTACCTGCAGTGTTCCCTCAATGAGGACTGAACTAGGCAAAAGGGCCTTCTCCTACTCCGCTCCTGTTTCCTGGAATATCTTACAAAAAGATTTGAAGCTCTCAACCTTGACCTCTCTAAGTGTCTTTAAGAATCTGTTGGACACCTGGCAGGGTCCAATGCAGACATGTTCCTGTTTTTAGTTTTCTACATTTGTCTTGGAATCTAGCTGTTTTTTGTTTTGTTACCTTTTCCTTTTAGCCATCCTATTTGTTAAAAAAAAAAAAAAAAAACTAGTATGCTTTTTTATAACTGTTTATTGTTGTTGCTGTTGTCCATTGTTGTCATCTTTCTTTGTTGAAATCAGGTCTCTCTTGTAAATGAGTCCTCGAGGCTCAATGGGATTTACCTGTATAAATAAAGGTTGATTGATGTTGATTCAAAATTTCACAGTGTCAACAAATCACAAAAAAGTTGGGACAAGTAGCAATAAGTAGCTGGAAAAAGGAAATTGAGCATATAACGAACAGCTGGAAGACCAACTAACACTAATTAGGTCAATTGACAACATGATTGGGTATAAAAAGAGCTTCTCAGAGTGTCAGTGTCTCTCAGAAGCCAAGATGGTAAGAGGATCACCAATTCCACCATTGTTGCGCAGAAAGATAGTGTTGCAATACCAGAATGGTGTTACCCAGCGTAAAATAGCAAAGACTTTTAAGTTATCATCATCAACCGTGCATAACATCGTCAAAAGATTCAGAGAATCTGGAACAATCGCTGTGCGTAAGGGTCAAGGCCTTAAAGCTCTACTGGATGCTCATAATCTCCGGTCCCTTAAACGTCACTGCACCTCAAACAGGAATGCCACTGTCAAGGAAATAACAGAATGGGCTCAGGAATACTTCCAGAAAGCATTGTCAGTGAACACAATCCACCGTGCCATCCGCCGTTGCCAGCTGAAACTCTACAGTGCAAAGAGGAAGCCATTTCTAAGCAAGCTCCACAAGCTCAGACATTTGCACTGGGCCAGGGGTCATTTAAAATGGAGTGTGGCAAAATGGAAGACTGTTCTGTGGTCAGATGAGTCACGATTTGAAGTTCTTTGTGGAACACTGGGACGCCATGTCATCCGGACCAGAGAGGAAGAGGATAGCCCAAGTTGTTATCAACACTCCGTTCAGAAGCCTGCATCACTGATGGTATGGGGTTGCATGAGCGCTTGTGGCAGTGGCAGCTTGCATGTCTGGAAAGGCACCATTAATGCAGAGAACTATGTTCAGGTTCTAGAACAACATATGCTCCCATCTAGACGTCATCTCTTTCAGGGAAGACCCTGCATTTTTCAACACGATAATGCCAGACCACATTCTGCAGCAATCACAACATCATGGCTAGGTAGGAGAAGGATCCGGGTACTGAAATGGCCAGCCTGCAGTCCAGATCTTTCACCTATAGAGAACATTTGGCGCATCATAAAGAGGAAGGTGCGACAAAGAAGGCCCAAGATGATTGAACAGTTAGAGGCCTGTATTAGACATGAATGGGAGAGCATTCCTATTTCTAAACTTGAGAAACTGGTCTCCTCTGTCCCCAGACGTCTGTTGAGTGTTGTAAGAAGAAGGGGGGATGCCACACAGTGGTAAAAATGGACTTGTCCCAACTTTTTGGGATTTGTTGACGCCATGAAATTTGGAAACAACAGATTTTTCCCTTAAGATGATACATTCTCTCAGTTTAAACTTTTGATCTGTGATTTGTGTTCTATTCTGAATAAAATATTAAATGTTTGCACCTCCACATCATTTCATTCAGTTTTTATTCACAATTTGTTTAGTGTCCCAATTTTTTTGGAATCCGGTTTGTATTATTATTATTATTATTATTATTATTATTATTATTATTATTATTATTATTATGAAGACTGTTTCAAGACTTTAAGTGTTGAAACAGGTTTAAAAGTAACTGTTTTATTAGATTCTTGGAAAGCTCAAAAATGTTAAGCCATTATATCGGTTATCAGCATTAGCTTCCCCTCCCAATATTTCTATCAGTGATAGCCAAAATTTCCATATTGGTAGGGCTCTGTCACGATGCACACTTTGCTCTTTGCTAAAACACTCTTTTCAATGCTTGGGTTCTAGTTCTCTCTATGTTCATTTGGTTTCTGTCAGCTCTGCTTCCTATCTGCAGCTTTCTGTCTGTCACACCTCCTCTCACTGCAGCTCGTTAGTGTTCATGGGAAACACCTGTGCTCTGGTGCTTAAAAGCTTCTCTCCCTCACAGTCTGGTGCCAGAATATCAAAAGCCTTTGGTGAGTAGTCTTCCAACATTTCTCTCTAGTATCCTGATCTTGTTCACAGTGTCCTGCCTGCCCCTCGACCTCTGATTTTTGTCTTGCCCTTTTGTACCTCTGCTCATCGGCTTTTTCGCTGCCTTTACTTGCTTGTTTTTGGACTCCGAGTTTTGCCTTGCTTTTGGGTACTGTCACCTTTATCAGATCCTGTTGCCAACCTTTTTTCTGCCCACAACTCTACCTTTGGATCGCCCACTCAAGACCACCGACGCACACCGCCCCTCGGTGACGTTTCTGCGCTGTTCAGCGCTCTGCCTCCGGCCCATTGAGCCTTACAAGACCCAGCTCCGGCTCTTTGACCACCAACACCAGACGAGAGTGGCAGCTCCTTGTTTATTAATAAAACCTTTAAACCTCTTCTGAATTCTTGTGGTTCTGATCCAACCTCAATCCTAATAGTATATTCTGGCCAAATGGATCACGCACAAGTTTCCGAATGGCGAGCTGGTGTCGAGGGAGCCATTGGTACATTAGAGAATGGCATGAATGAAATTGTTAACATGCTTAAAAACATGTCCCCTCAAAATCCACCACCACAGGATCCTGTTCCTGCTTCCGGACTCATACCAGCTGGACCACAAGCTACAGTATCGCACAAGCCATGCTTGACACGATCTGAGTTAAAGGTGAGCCAGACCAATGTCTGCCATTTTTAACTCAGTGCGATATCCATTTTCAGCTCCAGTCGTCCTATTTTCCCACTGAACGTTCCAAGGTGGCATATGTGATATCGTTGTTATCTGGCAAGGCCAAAACCTGGGGGACCTCTGAATGGCAACATAACTCAAGGTGCTGTTCCTGTTTTGCTGCTTTTTCTAAAGAACTGTGTAAAATTTTTGACCCCGTGCTCCCTGAGAGGGCGGCAGCATGTAGACTATCAAGCAGGGCAGCCGCAGAGTGACAGAGTACATTATTGACTTCCACGCCACCGCCACGGGCAGTCATTGGAACGAGGAGGCTCTATCTGGTGCCTTTTTTCGGGGACTTTCTGATGAGATCAAGGACACCCTGGCAACTAAGAGGTACCCTGACACGTTACAAGAGCTCGAGGACCTCGCCAACAGGGTGGATCTGAGATTGAGAGAAAGAGCCATGGAGAAATACTATAGGCCACAAAGAACCATGGGAGAGTTCAGGTCTCCTAAAGTTCCATTACCTGTTGGACCTCCTTCTCTGCCACCTCAGGAAGAACCCATGCAGATTGGCTGCAGTCGCCTGACCCCAGAGGAACGAGAATGAAGACGATGTAATCACCTCTGTTTCTCCTGCGGCCAAGGTTCACATTCCATCTTGAGATGTCCGTTAAAAGGCCAAGCTCAGCAGGTGCTGGATTCCTTAGATAGAGGCCTTTACTTATTGGCTTTTATGTATGTGAATGTTTGATGCCTCAAATCGTGCCCTGTCTAGGACACGGTGTGAGAGATATTTTTTTATACCGTCTCTCTTCATGTTTTCTTTCCTTTTCTCATCTAAGCAAAATATTATCCTGAATAGGAGGGCTGTGCTATTTATAGTCGCAGCTTCGTGCACTCCGCCCATCTTTCGGACGACTGTACGTACATATTCTAGTTGTATCTCGGTGCAATGCCAATAAAGTTTATTCTGATTCTGATGTTTCTGTAAAGTGCCCTGAGACAACTTTGTTGTGATTTGGCACTATATAAATAAAATGAATTGAATAAAACCATTAGTTGGATGTATGACCTTTGCCAGGCTGTGTGCAGACATTAGTTTTTTGTAAAATGCTGCACTGTCACATATTAGCAGCTCACAACTGTTGGTTGGATCGTTATTCTGCCCCTCAACTGTAACAATAAAAAATTTTGAACAACGTTAATGTCAGAACTTGTTATTTGTCCTTATTCACTTGGAAAGTTTGATCAGTGATTTATGGAGTAATGTGGGTTTCATAACCACCTGACAAGTTAAAAGGTTTGTTATAACAGCAGATATATTTTTCTACATCTATGCAAATATGTAGGTTGAATAAGTAAAAGAAAGAGAAGCTCTGCATAGAGTGGTGAAGGTTGCACAGAAGACTGTTGGAGTCAGTCTCTCCACTATCACAGACATCTACACCTCCAGATGCAGGAAGAGGGCCACCTGCATCATGAAGGACCCCACTCATCCAGCACACAAACTTTTTGCCCTGCTCCCCTCAGGAAGGAGGTTAAGGAGCATTAAGTGTAGAACCACTAGACTGAGGAACAACTTCTACCCTGAGGCTGTTAGACTCATGAATCTCTAACCAGGATAATCACTGTGAAAAATCACATCATGTTGCTGCTGATCTATTTCATGTTGCTGCTGATCTGTTTCATTTTGCTGCTGATCTGTTTCATGTTGATGTGTTCATCTGCTCACACAGACTCATGTTCATGTTTGTGCTGCTGTTTGACATAATGTTTTTATGCTATTAGTGCTTAGTGTATTTTTAGTTGATGTTTTTCTTAGTTCATATTTTAGATGTTATCATTGTTTTTCTTTTACATTTTATTGTTGGATGTAACTGGGACCCTGTGTACATCATTTCGCTCCACCACATGTACCACATGAGGTGCGAATGACAATAAAGAATCTCTGACTCTGACTAAAAAATGCAGTTATTTAACATTAAGGGGTAGTTGTGTTTATTTTACATTACATTTAGTTCAATTTAGCTACATTTATGCTGTCTTACAGTTACATCTGGCCCTTTGAGGGCAACCATTATGCTGATGTGGCCCTCGGTGGAACTTAGTTTGACACCCCTGATCTAAGGTATACACCAAGATATACGCTAAACGAACGCCAAACTGTATGCTAAAAGATCTAAGATATACGCTAAACACAATAATGTAAAACAATACAGCATATCAACAGCAGCCTGTCATTTGAATTAAAACATAAATTCATTTGAATAAAAAACTAACACAATCTGCAATGTTCAGAATAATAACCTCAGTTACAATAATTTTAGGTCAATATAGGGTAAAGCCGTTTTTGTGTTTCTTTGAGGCCAATTGGCTATGGTAGTCACCTTTAAAAACTGTCTGTTGTACATAGATTCTCAATGATTATTTTCTAAAGGTTGCGTAACAATTTATTAAGTGAGATATTTTCCTAACTAACTGGCCTGCATGCACGCAAATAAAAGCATTATTTCCAATTTTTCAACCTTCAATGTTGGCAGAAAAGGAAGCTCTTATTATAGCTGTTGGCAAATAATTTAGAAGGCATGTACTTGACAAGTGAATACACTTACTTCTTAAGTAATAACAAAATGGCAACACCATGTGAATCTAATTTATCAAGAAAAAGCTAAAAAAAAATTAATATGTAGAACGTTTTACAGTTTTTAAATAAATTTAGTAATTCACTATAACTGTAAAAAATTAAGAATTTTTATTAGCTACTCACAACACTAGTTGAATCAAATTTAACAAATGAAGATTTTATTAAATTCTCTCAACAATTTAAATGATTATTGTGAAAATTCACACTACAATGATTCTATTCTGGTTATCTCAAGCTGTACACTTGCAGTTTTAGTTTAGGAATTAAAAAAATAAAATAAAACTAGCAACAACATAGCTGCCAGGCTAACGTAATGGACTTAACAAGAAGACATATCAAAAGTCTTGAACATATGCAGATTCAAACTAGAGCCACACAAATTTCAGATTGTTTAGTAATTTAGTTGATGATAGCCTTTCTCATTGACACATTCACTGCTAATTTGACTTTATTTAGGGCAGTTAGCAGTAATCAGCACATTCATTGCTCAGTAGATGAGAGGTGATGCAGAGTGTGTCAGGTACCTGTTTTATCAGATGTTCAGCTTTAGTTCTCAGATCAGAATGGTCTGGATCTTCTGATAGCACGATAGATCAGTTTAAATAGCAGAAATCAGCAAAATTTTAGTTCACTTTGCAGACACCGTACACTCTTCTGTCCTTGTCATCCTCTCCTCCAACAGGCAGTTATTCTGGTTCTGCTTCTGAGTAAAACTAGTCCAGTTCAGACCAGATCCAGACCAGCTTCAGGTGTAAAGTCTGCCTGTCCTGGCAGAGTCAAATCTAACTGACGCTGCTGGAGGTGAGCTGTCACTGTGTAACATGACACCAGCTGCCTGTGTTAACCTCCATGGTACTCCGTAACAGTGAGACATCTATCAAATACATCCCTGATAAAACACAACCAACACTGTCAGATTTTTAAGGATATATATATATATATATATATATATATATATATATATATATATATATATATATATATATATATATATTACAGGCTAAGTTATGTATATCTGCAGAATTGCCACTTTAATGGGTGGTGAGGTTTGAACCATCAGGATCCTGTGATCCTGATGGCTATGTTGCAAAGGAGGGTGTAGAAGTAACAGAGTGGCCCGTCTTTGACGCGCTCTGCCAGACTATTTTCTTTGCCTACTCCTTCAGCTCCGACCCTCAGAATCAAGTAAATAAAACTATAAACTGTATCATACCAACTAACAAGTTATACTCGACTTAAAGTGGTAGGTCAACTCAAATGCAAACACCATGCTAATGTTAGCGCTTGTATTTTTTCTTAGACAAATGACCCAAAATAGCTAATAATGTTAGCCAGGCTCCACGATGTGCTCCTCCGTTCACCATAGCGTCCAAAGGAAATACGTCGGTGCACCTAATTGAATGAAGAGTGCTACAGAGCAGTTACAGCATATATTGTGAAACGGTTTCATCCCTTTTCAGATGTGGAATCACCAACATTTAGGTTAGTTAGGCAATAACAATAGAGCTATAGCTCTTCTAACGTTACAGTAACAGTGACATTACATGTTTTGTTTATATGTTTGCAGGGACATGGTGAAAACCTTCAACCCAAGTACACACCACCTACCATGGACCACTTGTCAAATAAGTTAATCCCATCTTGGTATAAGGTGGAGAAGAGCTGCTCTGCTCTTTAAAAAGAAGCTGGATGACGGTGTCTGGGAACAGATCCAGAGACAGATGATTGAGCAGGTGAAATGTCATTCATGCACAACTGTCCTTTTCTGCTTTTAAAATCTGAAATATAAATACTACTAATGTTCTTTGTGGTCAACAGAGGAAGACTGTGGAGATGATGGGGTCACATGCAGTCTGAGGAAAGGCCTGAGAATGAGGGAGTGGAGGATGAGGAGGAGAGTGTAAGTGTATGATAGCTGAAATTATATAGATTCTCTCAATCTTAATAATGATCATGCCTTTAATAATCCCTTTTTACTGATAATAAAGATGAACCTGCTGTTTGTTTAGGAACCGCCTCCCTGCAATCTGTCCCGAAAGTCTCCACTGGACAAACTTTTTGTTGAGGAAGAGGAACAGAACGTACTGTCCATGAAGAAACAAGTTCAATTCAATTCAATTCAGTTTATTTATATAGCGCCAAATCACAACAAAGTTGTCTCAGGTCACTTTACAGCAACATTCACATACATAAAAGCCAATTAGTAAAGTTCTCTATCTAAGGAATCCAGCAGACAATTGAATCTTGGCTTTGTTGCAGTCTCCCATCCTGAGAAAGCACAGTGGCAACAGTGGAAAGGAAAAACTCTCTTTTAAAAGGAAGAAACCTCCAGCAGAACCAGGCTCAGGACAAGCGGCCATCTTCTTTGACCGGCTGGTTGAGAGGACAGGAAGGAGAGACAGACGAACACAGAATGGTAGGTTCAGATATAGGTCCAGGTGTATCTGAAAGACAAAAAAACACATGTTAAGGATAGAAAAAATAATTAGTGGAGAGAGAGCTGCAGATGTACCAGAACATTCCACCAGTCGTTCTGTCTGAGGACCTGCTGCTGGTGGTGGAACCAACACAAGACTTATCCTTTGCTGTCAGATCTCGCTTTCTCATATTTGTGTTCAAGCTTCTTCTACACCCAGCAAACATGTTCTCCACTGCAGGAGACACTGTCTGTCCAGAACGCTCACACATACTGCCTGAGAAGCAGATATGATCATTTTCCTCAACAAGAAGCGTTTCTGATTTTATACTGTACCTGCTGCTAATCTGGACTGGGTTGTACAAGTTGTTCTTTTTTGTTTGATATTCTGCAGCAGGTTAGTCGATCAGTGGGAGCTCAGTAACATGGCTGCAGCATCACACACTGGACATGTGGAAATGTGTTTCCATGAGGTTTTCAAACATAAAGCTCACTTGTGAAAGTGTACCCCTGTAATAAGAAAATTCATAACATTTATTTTAAAGTTCATCAGTTTGATATTTATATATTGGTTGAAAATAGCCCTGTGAGAAATTCATAGTAAAGTTAACAAACGGTAAAAAGTTCATATCCTAATCTAAAAAAGTTAAATCTGGTCCTCTGGGCATTCAAAAAAAACAAAACAAAACAACCAAAAAAATGTAGAAACGTTTCGTCTTCCATCCGAAAGACTTCCTCAGTCTGAGGTGCTGTTTTCAGCTCAGTCTCTTACCTTCTCAGAGTGGATCAACCAGTTTGCTGCTGACTACCAAAACCAGCTGCTCACATGATCAAGAAGGACCATCAGCCTAACAATGGATCATTAGCACACTGATGGCTGTTTAATATTCACAGGAGGCTGAGTGATACTAGCAATAACAGCATTGTAAGAGGGGGACAGTTGAACCCGAAGGCCTCCACCCCTGTTTAATGATGGACGATTTCTTTTCACAAAGATGGCCCCCTTTACTCCTCTCTCAAACTATTGTTCCTCTCTGGCCAGGATGTGAACATCTTCATCCCTGAAAGAGTGACTGCTGGCCTGGAGATGAGTGTAGACCACAGAGTCCTGGCCTGATGATGTTGATCTTCTGTGCTGGGCCATCCTTTTGGCCAGTGGCTGTTTAGTGTTCCCCGATGTAAAACTGATCACAGTCCTCCTGACACTGAACAGCCTACACAATATTACTCTGTTTGTGCCGGGGGACTGGATCTTTGGGATGAACCAGTCTTTGCCGTAATGTATTTTGGGGTTTAAAAGCCACTGGGACGTTATGTTTAAAAAATAAACGTCTCAGTTTCTCTGATACTCCATCAACATACGGAATGACCACTGGTCTGGGTCTGGGTTCCTCCTTTTCACCTGTTGGCTGACTGGAGTCCTATTTGGGTTTCTTCTCTGCTTTCAGGAAGACCCAGTTAGGATATCCACATTGCTCTAGAGCCTGTCTTGTGTGAGATTTCTCCCTCTGCCTGGCTCCTGAGTTAGTGGGGATGCTGTCTGCTCTGTGGTACAGAGTTCTGATGACTCCTAACTTGTGCCCCAAAGGGTGATAGGAGTCAAACTGCAAATACTGGTCTGTGTGGGTGAATTTGTGGTACCCCTCAGTTTGCAAATGTCCTCTATCAGAGACTGAGACCTCACAGTCCAAGAAAGCCAACCTGCCATTTTTTACATCTTCTTGTGTGAACTTGATGTATTTATCCACAGAGTTGATGTGGTCAGTAAAATGTTGGACTTCCTGAGATTTAATTTTAATCCAGGTGTCATCAACATACCTGAACCAATGATTTGGTGGTGTTCCTGAAAAGGACATCAAGGCTCTCTTTTCTACCTCCTCCATGTACAGGTTGGCAACAATAGGAGAAACTGGAGACCCCATAGCACACCCATGTTTCTGCCTATAATATTGCTCCCCATATGTGAAGTAGGTTGACTGCATGTACAATTTCAAGAGTTGACACAGTTGTTCTGTGGAAAGCGTGGTCCTGCTGCTCAGAGTGGTGTCTGGTTTTAATCTTAAACTGACCACCTCTACTGCATCATCAACAGGAATGCACGTAAAGAGGGATGTCACATCAAAAGAGACCATTGTTTCATCAGTTTCCATGATTACATACCTCACCTTATCCACAAAGTCCATGGTGTTCTGTATGTGATGTTCTGAGCTGCCAACTAAAGGGATGAGTACAGACGCCAGATATTTGGAAACATTGTAAGTGACAGAGTTAATCATGCTAACAATTGGTCTTAAAGGTGCATCTTGTTTGTGGATTTTAGGTAAACCATACAGACTAGGTGTTGCCTCCCCTGGATACAGTCTGTGGTACATAATACAGTCAATTGTGAGAGTTCCACTGCCTGCAGCTCCTCCTCCAATTGGCTGCTGATTACCACCAGCTGGCAGCCATCCATCTGACGAGCTCGTGCTACTATTTAAGGCTGCAGTCCAGTGTGACTCATCGCTGGAGCATTGTACCCTATTTGGTATTTATGCTTTTAGCCAGTTAATTTAAGATTATATGAGAAATACTTACCTTCGTTTCTGTGTCTACAGTCCTCCTGTTTTCTTGGCTCCTGTTTGGATGCAGACTCCCGTGGTTCTGATTCATGCTCTCCGTGCCTCGCCTTCCAGCCACACGCCTGTCCTCCCTGCATTGTTCCGCCTTCCTTTGGACCATCTCTGGTGATTTACATCCACGCCAAACTCCTGCTTCACCATCTGTAAGGAAAGACAAAACAAGAATATTAAGAACTACAATTGGACTCCACTTATTCAACTCTTTTTCCCCAGGATCTCCAAGAGATGACTCACTGTAAATAGACACTGTAAATAATAAACATCACTACTTTTTCTAACCAAGTCTTGTCTTTTCTGGTTTCGCTCCATCTGGGTTCCTCGAGTCTTGACATCAATAGCCTTGTTCTGCTCCAAATTTTTCAGGCAATCTATTAACTTCTTCTTGTAACCACTTCCTGCATCTCTTTTCAGAGGTTCATAAGTGGTTAAGTCACTAAGGAGTGCCATAACTTTCTCATGATAGTCTTTCTGGTTCAAAATCACTGTGCACCTTCCT